ACATATTATTACCGAACAAGATTCAAATATTGTCGTATGTGTTAGCTGATCTCTCACATACAACAATTTTTTGTTGCGACTTATAAACACTCAATTTGTATGAAAAAATGTCGTATGTGCCAAACTTTTAAATTATACGACTAAATGCGACTAAAACGCTTGTGACCTTGCACTTACGATAAAATTATACCATATATTTCGAAATCCAAAGGAGATATCAAAAAACTGATAAAGCCATTTGGAAGATCTTGATGAGTTTAGTATAACTGCATTATTAACTCAATTTGGCCCAATTTTCACATACGACAATCATTTTTTCAGGCGGCGATATACGGAGTGTTGCAAAACTATAAATCCACTACAAATATTTGTATAGCAGGCGTAAAAAAAGAGATATGAAAAAAAATTCTTCTATGACTTTTGCGTAATGGGAACTCTCTTTTGATGGGGCTATTTTTTTTTAACCATTACAAAATTTGCAAGAAGTAATACAACCTAAAAAGTACTTGTTGCAAAACTATAAATCCTAATATGATCCTTGTACTAATAAATACACTGTATAAATCTAATATTTTAGTTGTGCTCCATTAACCTTAATCAACTCAAATATGTGCTTACTCATACTTAAGCACAATGTTTTTAGCAAATTAGAGTCCAAGTTATTCCACATTGCCAATTCGAGTGAACTCACGTTTTCAAATTGGCGATTCTCAGCATAAACTCTCCTTCCCAGTATTCCCCACACATTTTCGATTGGGTTCAGGTCAGGAGAGCATGCTGGCCATCCTAGGGTTCGAATATTGTTGCTCTTTAACCAATGCTTTGTCTCTTTGCTCGTATGGATTGCAGCATTGTCTTGCGGAAAAGTTCAATTTCTTCCATTTTTGTCAATGAAAGGCTTGAGACTACTCAGCAAAATGGCAACGTAGTCTGAACTCTTCATTTTGTTGGAGCAGAATTGCAGCTCGAGTACACCACCGGATGTTATAGCACCCCATACCATCACATTTCCGCCTCCAAAATTTCGTCGGGGGAAAACTCGACGTTCTTTACGTAAGTCATGCCAATATCCACTTAATCCGTCCGGGCCGTCCAGATTGAACTTTTTTTCATCTGAAAAGATAAGAAAAGATATACATAGTAATTTCTTAATTAGTATCCACGTTTAATTTACTTACAGAAGACCAATCAGTTGCCATATTTTTACTAGCGAATTCCATACGAGCGACTTTGTGGCGTGGCAAAAGACATGGAGCTGGTACCATTCTACCGTACTCGAGCTGCTTAGTGCGTTTTAAAGCCCTCCAAATTGTTTGCCGATTTACGGGAACTGAACATTTTGTTGCTAGCTTCTGGCAACTAATAGTTGAATTACTAGCGACACGTGCAATTATTCTTTCATCGCGACTGGTCAATTTTCTTTTCCGCCCGCCTGCCTTTTTGATCCCGTATTCATCTTATTTTCGTAAAAAACAAGAAACCAGCCCGTGGGATCTTCCAATCTTCGAAGCAATATCGCGTATACCGAAACCTTGCTCAACTAGAACCGTAATTCGACCCTTTTCAAATTCGTTCAATGGTTTACCGCGAGGCATATCGACGAGAATATTCATTAGTAAGCAATCAAAAATAAGTAATGACATTTAC